TGGCATACTTGACATTTCTATGTTAAACCAAAGTCCTAGAGCTAGTTCCTAGCCAGCTTTCAGTAATGAACAGTGAAAACAGCACTTCATTAGAATGTACCTGTAAAGAGAAATTACGTTCACCCTGCTTCTAACAAGCTGACTTCATCTAACTCAACACTTCCCTGAATTAGTTTTGTCAACAAGCTCACTATATAGTTTCAACATCTCACTTTACCCTACATTTATAAAAGTACCACACTGAAAATTTTGATTTTAAAAGTTACCCTTTAGTACATTAGCACATTTTGTTTCAGTACAGCATATCTTTAAAGTAATGCTGAAGTTGAGATGTGTAAATTTCTAGCACATATAAGCACTCTTGTACTGCATAATTAGAGCAGGTTCAAGGTGTAACAGTACATGTAATGCCTTGTTAAAATATTAATCAAACCCCACACTTACCTATTTTTAAATCTATCTAGTGCAGCAATACCAAAATAGTACATTTTGGACGCAAAAGGCTTTCGTAAGGCTTCAAGAACATAGCGCAGGGCCAGGCCCAATGCCATATAAGTAACCAGTCCTTTCTCTATGATACCACCAAAGAGGCAGGCTGTTATGTGCAGCTCTTTATCTGGGTACTGGGGAAAGAAGCGGTATTCCTCAAACAAGTTCCTCAGCATACAGTTAAACACTTCTCGTTCTCGTTTAATGTTGGAGTCCTTAAACCTCTGCAGCATTTCCAAGACCTGCAAATAAATGGGAAATTGTTACCAACAGATCTGCTTTATTTCAGCTCTTCTGCATCTTTGGGTTTCAAGACTGATTGTGGCTGTTAAAGTAAACTGCAAGTCCACATACTCGACTGCAAAACAGCTGCTTCAAAAACACTCATGTTAGCCTGTAGAAACTACACTGCTACAATAAGCCTCCTCTCCAGGCTTCAGTTACCTCTCATTTCTTTTCAGTAACTGTCTTCACATAAAACTTTTATATGGCTACCTACTCCATTGCTTCAAAATTAGCAAAATGAAAATTAATGTTCAGTGCTTCCATAATTCACAGCCAAATATATTCAAATAATGTTGAAGTACTTCGAAGAGTGAGTACATGAGACTGATGATTACTCTCACTGAGACTAACCAAAATAATTGTCAAAGCTCTGAAGGCAGAACTTCAGGTACCTTTGTATATTTGGATGTTGTAGTCATTTTTCGATACTTTAAAAACAAATATATTCAAGATAAATGTAACTTGTAGAGATTGCTTAAAGGCACACTTTACAGTTATTTTGAACACACAAGCTTCCACTCCAGGTAGAATTCTTCGTCCTCAGCATCATTTCAGGACTGTTAATTGGACACCTAAAAGTCAAAGCTGAATACAGCAACCAAGTGCAAGTTTACCGTAAAATCATCCTATCTTAGAAATATACAACTTCAACCAAGCAAAAAAGCAATGATGCAAGCATCTACCACAAGCCCTTTATTATTTTCCACTAATACAAGAAGGAACAATTACAATGAAGTTTATAGCAAGTCGCTGGACAAGTAATGCAAATGCTACTGAAGGGAGCTCACCTCATCTACAGACATGGTTGGATGTGGTGGATGGTTGTAAATACGCTGGAAGTAGCTGTTTGCCTCATCATCTATTTCTTTGCTAAAGTGCTGATTAGCCTCTGGCCACACCTGAGATAAGTCAGCTGTTAAAAAAGGGAACAGGTATCATGCTCAGAACAACTTGAGGTAGCCAGCATGATTTTATGTAGTCCTATTCAACTCTTTGACCAATCTACACAGAACCTGCTGGTTTTCTTGAAAAGCAGGATATTTAACCTTTCCAGTAGTCAGCAACTGTTATTTAAAAATATATATACAATATATAGTATTTATGCAAAAGAACTGTATCCTAAGACAGGACTAACCTCCTACTGATGCATGCCTAGAATCCACTGCATCCCAAACTAACCTCAGCTGATGCCTTAACCAGATGAATGCAAACAGACTAAAGCATGCTACACAACACTAGCAAGCAGACAAACTCCCACACAAACTTTCAGGACAGTCAGTGAGTGAGCTTTGAGCAAGTGTCCTGGGTTCAGCAGTAGCAGTCATTTTTCTCCTTCTTAGTAGCTGGTGCAGTGCTGTGGTTTTTGACTTTCAGCCTGGGAACAGCGCTGATAACACCAATGTTTTCAGTTGCTGCTCAGTAATGTTTACTCTGACCAAGGAGTTCCTCAGTCTCATGCTCTGTCAGGGAGGAGGGGAAGCCAGGAAGGAGAAAGAGGACACCAGACCCAAACTAGCCAAAGGGGTATTGCATACCATAGCACATCATGCCCAGTATATAAACTGGGGGGAGTTACCCGGAAGGGCTAGATTACTGCTCGGGCTGGGTATTGGTCAGCAGCTGGTGAGCGCTTGCATTCTCTTCCCCTGTTATTTCCCTCATCATTATTACTATTGGTGGCAGCAGTAGTGGTTTTGTGTTATACCTTAGTTACTGGACTGCTCTTATCTCAACCCATGGGAGTTACATTCTTTTGATTCTCCTCCCCATCCCTCCAGGAGCAGGGTGAGGAAGAAGGACGGGGTGGAGAGTGAGCAAGCAGCTGCATGGTTCTGAATTACCAGCTGGGCTTAAACCACGACAGCAAGTTTGCACTGGATGTTCAAGCCCCAAAATATAAACCAATGGTCAATACAGCTGCCTCCATCTGTACAGATCAGTAACTTTGCTTTCATGGAGGAGCTATTGAAGGAAACACACAGTATGAGGAGTGTGGAAGGTTTAGCATATGGCTATGCCTCCTAAAGGCAACAGCTGATTGCTCGAACATTTAGTTGTGAGCATACTTTAGAGGCATAAATGAATAAAGAATAATGGCTCAGTATTAGGACCAAATTATTCCTTCCAAAAACCATCTCCCCACCAACTTTTGTTAGTTTTATTTGCATCCCATTTTGCAGTCTGATTCACTGCTTCATCTGTCAAGTTCTCTGCTGCAAGAGCACCTTATCCCAGTAGCTTTGTTTAACCTTGTTACAAACCCAAAATAACCCTCTTACCAGATGCATACAGTTCTCTGCAAAAAGGAGAAAACTTTTGTTCAAAACACAGCACAACAAAATATGACACAAACACTGTTCATGCAAATCCACCATGTTACGTTTTTATGCTAATAGCTTTTTAACTCTCACCCCAGCCACTTGGCAAGGTTTCAATACAGAGTTTAGAAGCACCTTTTCCACACTAATGGCATAATACAAGAGCCACTTCACAGCTTCTAACATTTACTGCCTACAGAGCCAAGCCTCCCCTGAAGAAAATGCAGGTTAACTCCATAACACAGTCACACTTCACAGCCACAGACAACACTACCACTTACAAGGTTTCATCTTACTCTGCTGGAATGTAGGCTGGTTCAGTCCAGATGTGCTCAGCTTCCTTTGCACGAAGGGGTCATTGTTCACCGCAGGAATGCCCAGGGCTCCAGTTCCTATGCCAGTCAGGCTACCCGTAGTAAGACCACCTACTGAAACAGAAACCCATAGTAAGACCTCCTACTAAAAAGCAAACGGCTTGTAATCTCAGTTGTACCCTCTACAATACACTCATCACTCCAGGCACTTGCTGTTTCCAACTCCAAGCTCTAGAACTTCGTAACTGTCTAATATTAAGCAGTTTTCTCTCATGCAATTCTTCATATCTGTCTTAATATAAAATAAAGCTACCAAAATCTGCCAAAATTTACCCCTCTTGATTCTCAAACTTTTTACCTACTGCAGTTCAACATTCCAAAGTTTAAGAAGCAACCTAGGAGCAAGGACTGTGTAATTCCATCCCACATGACACAGAGCTGTCAGCCCAGTAATTTCCAACCACAGCAGTAATAGTGCCTTAGTTCCAATATGTCACAAATACAAACCACTCCACTGGATAGCAGTACCTGGAAGCTGTGAAGACAGTCCTCCAATGCCACTGAAGCCCGTTGTCTGGTTTTGGGTAGAAAGGGGGGGGAACGCTTTTGCTGGTGACTGTGGAGTACTGAATGCAGAGCCCAAGTTTGGAGGGAAGCCTTGCATGCTCTGAGTGTGAGGAGCAGCTGAACCACCTAAGCTAAGAGATGCCATTCCTGCAAGTGAGTCGATCTGAAGAAAGGAAGATTATACACAGACATACATGAACCCAAATCAAGCTGATTTTTGGCAGGTTTTGTATAGAGACAGCAATGTATCAAGACATTCCTGAGAAGAGCTCTTTTGCATGTTTACTGCATGATTCTCAAGTCATCCAGATCACCCCCAAAAAATTTGTCTACAGAATACCGTTTCATTTTTAATTCTACAATCCCACAAACTCCTATTCTATCAGAGGTTTTACAGAAAGGCCAATTGTTCCATAGTCTCCACCTAAGTTTAACAACAGTAAACGCTTGTTAAGTAGCAGCATGTTTGTACTAGTTTATGCTCTGCAGTTTACAACCTCAGACATCACCCCAAGACTTAAAGGCTATTTCATATCAAGCTTATAGAGTATTTTTGACTGTCTGAAGGATGCCCAGTTTTCACAGGTAAAAATACCTGAATTCAGTCTTCACATTAATACCTGAGTGATAAGCAGGAGGGAGGAACAATACCAGCTAACAAAGCAGTAACTTAAGAGATCCTGACTAGCAACAGCAGAAAACAGTTTCCTACCCAAAAGACAGCACGACTACAAATAACATCTGCTGCTCCATTTATTCACTGCAGTTATTTGCAGCAAGTTGCCAAGATACCTGGTAGATCTGATGAGGAACTTCAATAAAGCAACAATTTACAAGGAAACTGCTCTCTCTATTTAGTTTAAATGATGCTTCAGACATTCTTAAATGCTGAACTGCCACTACTGCATGTGAAAATACTTGTCACTGTTTTAAAATCTGACAATGAACATAATAGCTAGAAGCAAAAGCTGTCTGTAATGTGTTGCTCTCAGAGGAGGAAGGGATGATGAGTGGCAGGGAGTAGCTTAAATGTACTTTGTTTTTAAAAGAGCAGTTGAGAGCTGAAGAGCCCCAGTTACAAGTCCTTATGCTCTAGCACTGTTGCTTGGCCAGTGAAGCTACAAGACACATGAGGCTCAAAGGCAGTGCTTAATTTTCACAAGTCTTAGTACATTTTAGCACTTCAAAAGAAACACTTATTTTAAATAAACCAAATCTCTATCCCTCCTCAGTGCTACCATCCTGCTATACTTCAGTTATCTTACAGGCATCCATGAAGATAGCTCTGACATACAACCCTCATGCATTATTCTGCAGTTACAAGCAAGTTATCTAGACATGCAAGCATAAAACTAAGGGATCCAGATCATGTTTTACTTAGTCCTGCTGAAAAGTGTTCAAACAGTGGAGTGGAACTAGTGGTAAAACACCAGCTTCTAAAAACACATCACATTATTCATCTACCTGTACAGGAGAGATGGCATCCAAGCTGCTAGCGCTGGGCGGGCGTCCTTTGGGCATGACTCCAGGTGGTGGCTGCCTGGCTTTATTCATGACATTGCTGCAGTTAGCTACCATGGTGAGGATTGTCTCCGACAGCTCCTGAGAAACACTCCTACAACATGGAAGTAGGGTAGCGAGCCATGCAACAGTTCTCAAACTAGAGCCCCTGATTTATTTGGTTTTCTTACAGAAATTTGGGTCACACTTCACCAATAGAAGCTTCAAAGCAACCCCCAGCAGAAGCTATATTTTGTTACTCGCAAAATTTGTGCTACATGTCCCAAGAGAAACAGCTGTATTTAAATAGATAATTCTAAACTGTATTTCTAAAAATTAATCTCCAACAGAATATTCCTTTGTTTCCACTAATGCAAATACTGCTTTACAGTTACCCCAGCAAATAATGACTTGCAGAAAGCTTGGATATATACCTACATGGCTCCAGCAGTCCTTGGAAGAGCAGACTATCTACAACACTTTGACTGCTGTTGTTCACATTATGGGCTCTATACAGCTCAGCCTCATGAATTCAACCACACAATAATGATGCGGTGATCACTTGCTCAAATCTGCTCCTCAAGGCTCCTTCCTGTCCTGACATCATAGTTTGTGATTATTCCCATTCTGAACCCACATTACACACAAGATCTCTCCAAAAGGAGATACAACATGACTAAAGCTTAGTTTACACACTCAGAAGACAAAAAATGAGAGGTGAATACCATCACCCGCTCCACTGAAATTCATCTGTCTGAACTGAAACATGCTTTCTGCATTAACATGAAACCAAAACAAAAAGGAAATAAATCAACCTAATCAAGGAAATTGTACTCAAAAGCCAACAGAGTTCAAACTTCCAAATTAAGACACTACACAATCAAGAGCAGTCAGTACTTCTTTCCAAGGTATTCCATGTCTGGCTGCCAGGTTCCTAAAGCAGAAGGAAAGCCAGCTCTGCTGCGGACATACCTAACCACAAGCACACTAACACAAAACTGACGTTTTCCTTTTGGAAAACACAGCCAACTGTTTATGGCTTTCCAATGCACTCTTGTTACCTTCTCTGAAGATTCCTCATTTTAACTCAATTTACACAAGCTTTTACTGCACAGCTCCTGGGGTGAGGGGAAAGGGAAAGAAAGAGGAACCATCCTGACAATTAAGGCAGAAAAACAAAGTGCAGATCAACCTTCAGCTTTGGTAAGTATCCCATTACAGGCTAACACACAGCTATCAGCTTCCAGTTATTTTTCAACACTATTAGCTCACCCAAGACATGGGAATCTGGTGAGCAGGTTTCCATATAAGGCAACGAACATTTTATCAACTGTTCCGTAAGCTGTTTCTTTACATGCTTTAACACCCTCTCACCAAGGCAAGTAATTTTAAAAGCAAGGAGCTTGTGGGATTTATCAAACAGCAATCAGAAACCTAACTTCAAATGAAAAAACTCAAAGGGAGTTGCTTTGAGAAAGTGCACCCAGACCTGAAGACAGGGCTTTCAGCATGGCATGTGGTAGGCTCAGTAACTACAGAATGTATTTGCCTACATTCCAATGCCACAGTCTCAGAAATCTCAACATTCAAATGTATGTATGACCAACTAACAGGCTTTTTTTCTGAACAGGGCTTTTTTCTGATGTAGGAGGCATTCCAAGACTGTACAGGGAACAGGACTGGGGACTCAAGAGCTGGGTTCTCACATGGTTACCACCATCTTTTGGCTCTCCCCCCTTTTTTTTATAGGGGATAGATAAAAAACAGCCCACAATGAAGACTAAACCAGGCTTACATTCATAGAGTTTGAGACGGTGACTAGTTAGGCCATTAGTGCTTTGGAGTAAACCACTAATACCATAACCTTCAATTTCTAGATGGCAGGACAACTTCTTTGTTATATCAAAGGACACACTGAATCAAGATGCAAACATCACAGTAGTTTTAGATAGTACAAAACTGCAGTTTTCACAAAAGGCCCCACCAAAACCCTTCATGCAAGGCAGATTATATCAAGTAGTACATAGGTAGGCATGATTTGGTAAGTAGATCTTAAAGAAAATGATCGTACTTTCAAGTTTTATGTAAAAATGTATTCAGGTGTCCAGTCTAATCAATGCAATTCCTAGAAGAGAACCAGAGGAAAACTGTAAGAGAACTTTTGAAACACAAGTAAGGAGGAGAGCCAGCAAACAGCTCTAGAGGAGCAAAACTGACACTTTAAGGGAAACTCCAGCTTGCTGGAATAACAAGGGTTTTTTTTAAGCCATTTTTACAAAGATTTTTCATTCTCTTGGGCACAGGCAGCCAAAAGCCTCTTCTCTTCCTGAGGGAGGGACAGAGAAGGAAAGACTGTCCCCCCACCCACTGACACACTGGGGCTGTGCTAGACATGACAACATGGAAGAGACACGGCTGCGCTCTCAACTCACTGCAGCTCCTTCGGGAGAGGACTTCTCATAGGCAATTTGCGACCAAGTCACAAGCTTGCTCAGCCTGTGGCGCCCACAAGCACCCCAACTTCATTATAAAAGCAGTCAGTAATAGAAGGAACACTTATTGCCTTTTGAAGCCTCTCTGCTATATGATGCCACAACTGCAGTGCTCACCAGTGGTAAACAAGTGGCACCAAAACCAAAAGAGTCTCAGAACATGCAAGGTCCTGATGGCTAAAAAAAGCATCTCCCTGGACATAAACCAGGACAAGAAAAACTACAGCCTAATTAAGGAGGTGGCTCCTAAACCCCCAGATTTAGGAGATGCCAGACTTCAGCTGGTGAAGTGGAACTACCCTCCCAGATATATATAATATTTACCATGATCTTAATCTTCTAGTCTTCACAATGCCTACTTCCATTCATGACTGAAACCTGAGCTAATTAAAGCAACTGCTTCATGAAAGAAATCCTAGCATTTTCTTTTAAAAGCTCAAAGAGATTAACAAACGGAAAATGACTGCAAGTAGGTCACAGTCTTGCATAAAAGGGAATACAAGTAGCTATAAAAAGAAACCAAAAGCTGAGAGAATTGTGCCAGTAGAGAACTAGTAGCTCTTGGAATTAACTGAATAAATAAAACTTGGTAACATATTAAGATTCAGAACACAGTGATGTCAGATGCAAGTAAAGACTACAATTAACTATTAAACCTCTAAAATCTGGATGTGGTAGGATGTAAAATAAATGTAATTTCTGAACTGTAGTTGCAGAAGATGTACTTTGAGTTGAAAAGTAACAGCCATCTTCTTGGTCCAAGAGGCATGCCATCGTATTTCAGGAGTGATATTCAAATAGCATCCACTGTGTTTCAGGAGTGATATTCAAATAGCATTTTGAAGTTTAACTGCACAGGTCACAGAAGAAATCAGGAGACTCCTTTATTTTATAATTTTAGAGCTACCTCAAATTCCCTTCTAGACCAAATACTCTTCATGACAAATCCATGCTGATACTCATTTCCTGGCACCTACATCAGAGCCATGAATCATCCTGGATACCTTTAAAAATGTTCCTTAAAACTTTCAAGACAACACTGGCTAAACCAAAGGACACAACAGAAGCCTGAGACACACACTGAGACACCTCAGCCTATTTCAGTGTCAAAATTTAACACCGGAACTAGCACCATCTCCAGCTTTCAATCCCCTCTGGCTCACATGTCACACTATGCTACACCTCTGAAATACCGCTGCAGTTAAACACCAGCTTGATCTTACAGCAGCAAGAAATGACACCACAAATATTTTACAACACTGTCATTTTAAAAAACAGTAAAAACTGGTTTGCCCAATTTCAGTTTCCATCAGCCTTTCTGCAGTTTGCCCCTCCCTCTAGCAAATACAATGCCCGCCCCCCTTTTATTCTTGACACTAGCTTAACAACCTGATTTGAGAAAGATCTTGGATGTTTTTCACTCTTTTAACTACTTCCAGACTGTCTAAAATGAAGACAACAGAAGCTACATGACTAGTTTCAGTCTCAGTTACATTACTTACAAACCACCTTGTACCACTTTGCTCCAATACATAATGACTGCATTAGCCCTTTCTGCTAGGGTAGCAACCACAGAGACATTTGCTTAACATACTCACAATATCCTTTCCCCAGTCACTGTTTTCCAACATGCCATCCCATTCCATACTTATGGCCTGTATTCCTTCTTGTCCAAATTACATCCCTGTATCTAGTCATTAACAACCCAGGATCTGACTAAGCAGTCATCTCCCATTACCAAAATCAGGTAACCTAATTATAAAGACAGGAGCACTCAAACTCTTGTGACTTACCCTACAACAGAAGTTTCAGTGCAAAATTAAGCATATTTCTGGATCTATGACTGCAAGCTTATTTACTCTCATGAGCCCCATTCTCTATGTGAAATTCCAAACCAGCTGTGAGCACAAGCCAGCAAACAAGCTGCGAACAGATTACACATTCTGCATAAGCTATCCTTACCCAGCACAAGCTTGAAGACATGCCAACATAGTCGCCAAGGTTTCTGGAGGAAGTTGAGCACTTTTGGGTTGGTCTTTTTCTGGAGCAAGGCCACCCAGGATAGATGGACATCTCCTCTTTAAAAAAGTCATACAGGCCTGGATGAAAGGCTCCTGAGGAAAAAAATGTTCTGTTAAATCTCCCAGACAGCATCTAAG